AAATTAGAAACATACATTTTGTTGTTCTGTATTTGGCTACAGCCTCCGCCCTGATGTCACACACCGTCTGTCAATGCAGTTATGTTTTGCCCAATTGGCAAAAAGATTGACAAGCGAAAGTGGGCATTTTTTGTGTTTTTTGTGTTCTAATATTTCTTTTTCAGATGAGAGATAAACTACCCCTGCTTCAGGGATGACAGTAGTATGGATCATGAGGAAATGAGCCTCTACCTTGGCACCAAAGCCCACAATATGAATTGAGGACGATCCGGGAGAAAAGCAACTGGAGATGAACGGAACAGCAAATCTACACACACACACTAGGTCTCCCTGACCCAACGGCCATTCACTCAGACTGTGGATGAGCGGTGTGGGTGCATGGTGTCGGTACTTTTGCAGTCTCACGGAGGGCCACTGAGACCCACTGCTTACTTCTCAGCAAAACTCGATCCCGTGGCAGCAGGGTTGCCTCGCTGCCTGCGGGCTGTGGCTGCCGCTGAGAAAGCGGCCCTAGCATCACGTGACCTTGTGGGATACACTGAACTAACTTTGCTTGTGCCCCATGCTGTTTCCCTGATCCTGCTAGAGCAGAAAACCTCTCACCTTTCTGCGGCTCGTTGGCTGAAATACAACACGGTGCTCTTTGAACTCCCCAATGTCACGGTGAAAAGATGCACACAGCTGAACCCCTCCTCGCTGCTGCCCACGCCAGAGGAAGGGGAGGCACACTGCTGTATCGCCACAATAGAACAGATATGCACTCCCAGGCCAGACCTGAAAGAGGTGCCTCTGACTAATCCTGACTTGATTTTTTTTATACAGACGGAGCCGCGTCACGTGACAACACTGGGAAGAACCGAGTCGGCTATGCTGTGTGTTCTGATTTTGATACTATAGACTCTGGTAGTTTGCCCCACCATCATTCAGCACAAACCGCTGAACTGGTCACGCGCACCAGGGCTTGTGTGCTGGCAGCGGGCAAAACTGTTAACATATTCTGTGATACGCGCTATGGTTTCTCTGTGGTGCACGACTGGGGGGCACTGTGGAAACACCGCAATTTCATGAAATCTGATGGTAAACCAATTCTTAATTCCACACAGGTTGAACGTCTGCTGAAAGCTGTGATGATGCCCTTAGAGATCGCTGTATGCAAATGCCAGGCCCACACTAATGCCACTGATCCCATCTCTGCAGGGAATCGGCGCGCGGACAAGGCAGCGGCATACGCACCTCTACACACACACACACACTACCTCACTCAAGACGTTGATATTTTCTCCTCCCTGTCAGCGATGCAGGCACTTGCTACTCCAGCAGAGACGCTGCTGTGGGAGGGGAATGGGGCTCAACGACGGCATGGTGTGTGTGGCTGGGACCAGACAGCAAACCGTGCCTACCACGGCATTTCTTCAGACAGTTTGCAATTTTAGCACATGGTCGAGACCATGCCTCAAAAGGAGGGATGTGTGATTTAATCACACAAAATTGGTATACAAAGGGGTTTACGGCATTTGCACAGAGATTCTGCCAAACATGCGCTATATGCCTCGCGCACAACCCAGGTAAGTCCCAAAAGTATCCAACAGGCTGCTCATCCTCCGCCCCTGCGCCCATTTCAACATGTCCAAAGGGACTTTGTTGAACTCACACCATGCCAAGGTAAGTAATACTGTCTGGGTCTGGCGGATCTCTGGTCCAAATGGACTGAATATTTGCATGCAAACACGCCACGAGCAACGCGGTGGTGAAAGCTCTGCTCACAGAAATTGTGCCACGATGGGGTGTCCCGAGGGAAAATCTCTAGTGACAATGGCAGTCACTTTGTAGCAAAAGTCATTGAGGAAGTGGGTGAATTTCTGGGCATTGATATATGTAAACACTGCAGTTACGCCCCCTGGTCCGGAGGCGCGTGCGAGCGAGAGAATGGCACTCAAAGCTCTGCCGCTAGCCCTCATGTACATGCGCATGAGAGTCCCATTCGAAATCCTCTGTGCCAGACCACCCAACTTGGGCGCGGGACCCCCGAACAGAGATCTGCCAAGCACCTCTTTGTGATGACGACATGCTGTCCTATTGTAAGGAAATTAATGCACTTTTGTCCTCTATTTCTGCCCAGGTCAGGAGCGCCCTGCCACAGGCTGCGCAGGCGGCTCTGCACAGGATCAAGCCAGGTGACTGGGTCCTGGTGAAGGAAACGAGACGAAAGCATTGGCGGTCCAAGCGCTGGCTCGGCCCATTCCTCGTCCTCCTGGTGACGGACACTGCCGTTAAGGTCACGGAGAGGACAACTTGGATCCACGCCAACCACTGTCGTGCGGTGCTGCCACTGAGGGCCATAGACGAGGACACCGAGGGCGCGGACGGACCAGGCCCATCCGCGGCTCCCTACGCTGAAGAGGTCGGCCGGCGTGCGACCACCGTCGGTGAAGCAGGCCAACAACAACACCCAGAGAATCCCAGCGTTCCCGAGGCGACCCCCCTTTGCCCAACTCCCCAGCCCCCGGACCCCAAGGCCTGGGAGCCATGAAGGCCCTGAGCGCTCTGCTCAGCTGCAGCAAGTATGCAGAGCTGCTGCTCATTCCAAAGATTTCTCCAGAGCCTGCTCCCTCTGGCCATAATGCAGATTTGAGCTCTGCTGGAGTGCCCCCTGGTGTCTCGTCTCCCGTGTGTCCGGAGGAGGTGGAGATGAGGGCTGCTCTACAGTTCCTGATGAGGCACATGGTGAAGCGTGCTGTCATGAGGTCTCCCATCAAACGAGCTTTGGGCCTGGCCGATCTGGAGCGTGCTCAAGCCATGGTCTCCACACCCCAAACCCCGAGCACTCTGCCCAACCGAGTGCTGAGGCCAAGGCTTCAACGCAATTAGAGTCTTGCCGCTCCAAGACCAAACATCGCCATGACCACTAACGCTCCACACACGCTCATAGGGAGCGGTGCCACTGACTGCGAGACGGCACTGTTCGTGAGTATTCCCGCGGAAAAGACTACCGAATGTAGCCCGGCTAAGACCGGCATGGGCCCTTGGACTGTTATGCTGGCCACACTGACACTACTTTCCGTGCTGACCGTGTTTATTATGTTAATATTGTCTCCCTCTGAAACTCAAAACCCTGTGATTCAAGCCATGACACGCATTAAACGCAGCCTTGCTTCCGACGACACTGCTTGGTTGGAGGCCTTGAGTAAATCCTGCTGTACATATTCCGGCTAATGATGAGGACGGAGGTCTTATCCAACAGGGCATAGCCAATCTGACTAGACTCCGGGACGTCATGCAAGCGGACAATGTCACGGACACTCCTCACGGTCTGGACTGGCTCCTGTCCTCCTGGCGGAGTGTGCTCATTAATCTTGGTTTAGCCCTATTGATGTCGGACACACTGTCCGCACTCTTATCGCTGTCCGGATCCATTGTGTTATTATAATGTGCTCTTTCTTTTATTGACAAGCATGTTTCCTTTCTTGTCCACTTTGGACAGCAATAATTTAAGTGTTTCAAGCTTGAAGGTGATGTGATTACGATGCCTCTGGTATTTAACTGATTAATGCAAAAATGGTTTTGAATTATCAAAAGAGGGGAGTGTAATGACAGTTTTTAGAGTAATTAAATTAAAACCAGCCGCAGCAAATACACGGACGTAAAAGGCCTTTAATCAATGCAGAGACGACCTTCTGACGCCATGCTGAGCTTTGTGAAGGTCTCTGCTGTCTGTCACACCCTTGTGTCTTTCGCATCTTGCATCTGTATGCCTGCATTTCTACCATTGTCTGTCTGTTCGCACCTCCATGCCACTGTGTCTGATTGCCTCACCACAGGACATGGCGCCTACGCTCCCTATGCGCCTCCTGCACCGGTGGCCCCCTCCCATCTGTTGTGGGCGTGACTGTCTTTATGTGTTGTCTATGTAAACAGGAAGCTGAGCTCTGCGCGCCAGAGCTTGGGTATGCAGCCTTTGTATATGTTAGCTCTCCGCACGTGTGTTACAATAAACTTACGCTCCTGAATTAAGACAAAGACCTTTGAGCTTTCTCCTTCATTGGGGTATGTAATTCTACAACAACTGGTATGAGGTTAAAGGAAATCCCCACTGCTTATCGTAACACTTTTAAAGACATGCACTGTACTGTGGAATGTCTTATCTTCAGGTGATAAACAAAACTGAAAGATGGCCTTTCATTGTTTTTCATTTTATGATTTGTGGTAATAGGGAAGCCACAAATAAATAGCCTTTGCCCTTTAAGTAATCAACATATCTCAAAGATCGTAAGATTTGTGAGAAAAGGTGTCTATAGTTCAATGGCGGGAACAGATTTAATGAAGCGCCGGTGAAATGTGTGATTTCAAACCTTTGCATCAGATGATTTAAACATTCATGAGGCCGGGGTTATTATTCTGTGCCTCTCACCTGCAGAGTATGAAGGAACTCCAACTCCCATCATGCAACATTAATGGAAACTCAAGCAGACATACAAGGCGCAAACAAATACAGTATAACGAAGCAAAGGTATAGGGCAAAGATGTTAACTTGTTTTTTTTTTTATCAATAAATAGCAGCTATGAACCCGGTGAGATGAAAACCTATGTGTTTTTAGTTTAAATTAAGATGCCTTAATTTGCGGGGTACCTTAATAACCTTAATTTGATTGCTCATAAGGTCAATCCTTATGGCTCGAATTAGGAATTTATGAAGAGAATATCAAAAAATAAACACAGAGATCATAGAAACTGCTAAACCGTGGATGTTTGATGTGTCACAAGCAGTTACATAAGGATAAGCATAAGGAGTTTACTTTTCCATGTACATCAATAGGAGCCAGAGCGAGTTAGAACAAAACTTCGACCATGAGCACTTCCCTGTTGGTCGTCATTGAGCTAGGGGGTTAGAATTGTCCATATAGTCTATGACCCCTACTTATGATAACATTTGACAAAACATATCAAAACTACTATAAAGAGAACGCCACATATGATTAAAATGTTGTCCCGAAAAATGTTACCTGCATGAGCTCCTGCTTCTCCTTCTCTCCGGAGCTGATGGCGTCTCGGATGGAGCGGACTTCACTCAGAATGGCCTGAGCCTCCTGCAGCTTGTATCCGTACGAACTACTCGATACTTTCTGATCAATCCTAAAACACATACAAAAATGAAGAATTGGTCATGATTGTTGATTTTTAGTGATGCAACATTATTTTAGCAGTAGATATAAAGGCTAAACTAGTTTGTAAAATCTCCAAACAATAACATCTAAAATGAAAATGAACTGCAGCCTTTCTCCATGTAATATGTCTATATCATACATTGGTTTTATATTTAATAAATTCACTTTTGTAAAAATACTAATTTTCTAAGTTTCACCTGTACCTGCACTTGTTTGAATGTACTGTGATTCTTTACGTATACATTTATGATTTTAATCTTAACTTGAGTATGAAATGTGCGCTACAAAAAAACTTGTCTTGCTTAAAAAATGCTCTATTGGGTCCATAATAAAGTGTAAAATACACTCTAAAGCAGGATTTAAAATTATACTTTTAAAGTAGTCCTGTCATCACTCACAGAGTATCGGACTTGTTAAAACAGAGACACTACTCTATGAGCGTGGGACTGTAATGTTGCAGTGAAATATTCAACAGTGATTCAAAAGGCTTTTAGTTGTTTGCACACGCTACACGGAAATCCTACAAATAGCACAGTGGACTATAAAAGAACAAAATAAATCTAATTGAGTTGTAGTGCACGCAACTCAAGCAAGGTGGCTGTCTTTGTGATCTCTGGCACTAGAGGCACCACTGCTGAGTCTAATGTCACATCCAGTCATGCGCCTCTTTGAATGAACCGGTCACTCCACATTCCTTCGGTCGGGGCAGAAGGGGCGGGGTTCAAGTGTAAAAGGAGGCGGAGACAATTTGAGGCTCAAAACAACATGGAATGAGGAACAGGCCAGCTTCACGAGATTCCATAATGACTCCAAAGATAATAGTTTCAAGTGAAGGCAGAGGCAAGAAGACATTCCATAGTATTCTCACATTCGTTAAAGTACACTGGTAAAATATGCTTTCATATCTATTTTTCATGAGAATTTGAATGAAAACACAAAAAAGTGTTTTATTTTTATCAAGAAACTTCATAGATTGTTATGCAGATCATAACTTCACAATTTACCCAGATCAAAATTGCATTTTTTTATGTTGAAGGGCCAATACAAATTGTGATTCAAATATGCCATAAATGTCAAACAATATGATGACCAAAGCACGATGACTTTTATATATTGACTTTATATACAGTTTTAATTCTGATATTCAGTCTAAAGAAAAATGTTTTCTTCTTGTTTCATTACCTTATGTTTTAAAATGTTTGTAAAGGTGTATGATTTTATGTCTGTTTAAGTTTTATCTGAATAAATTTCTGGGCCAACTAAAAAAAAACTGGCAGAAACATTCTCTCTGCTAAAATATGATGCTTATGTCTCCATTATGTATGACTGTTTAAACGTTGTTTATAGTTCCATGCCACCAAGTCACTTATACAGTCACATATGGGTGGGAGATAAGGACAAAAATGTCTTTTAAAAGTTTGCAAATAACAATTTTTCAGTCCAACAGAAAAGAGATTAGTCTTTTAAATGTGTGGTTGCATTTCAGCATCAGTCACATGTAAATGACTATAACTACAAAACTGCAGACACATAATTTAACCGTATTAAGATTTAAAATCATATATTTATAGTATCTCAAAATACAAACATGGTACTCAATGTCTCCAAAGTACATCCAAGACATCATTAACAAAACGCCCTTGATAGTCAAAGTGTGTTTTTTGCTTGCTTTTCCACACTTTATCCAGAGATTAGTTGAAAATTAACTTTGCCGCTCAAACTGGCACCTTTACAGAAACACTCAGTACTTTGATCAAATACATTATAATAACTAAATACTCAAGAGCATTAACAAAAAGATGAATATAGACATTTTAAGGTCCTTAATCCTTAACCAAATATAACCACTCCAATCGTGGAAATCCAAATAGCTTGCCTCTAGACGTTGACACTACCTCCCTTTATGAATATATGACTAATGCCTTTTTCACGTGGGGCCACTTTATCTGGTGCAATGACTGGCTCGCAGTTATCGCTCGTGTCTTCGTTGTTAAAATACTTTCAGAAAAACAGCTGCCGTCAGGTGACCCATTTACAAAACAACACTATTCAGCAGCGTGTGGGACAAGATCTGATAACCAGGCTGGGCTGTTTACATTCACGACAAAAAATGTGCTGGACTAAGTCAGGAGGAATGCGGCCATGTCATTCAGAGAGGCGGGTTTAGAAAGATATTGAGGTGTGAGTGTTATTCATTCTTGCAGGGAATGACAAAATGAGACTGGAATGCCTGCCTTTTGCCCAACACTACAGAAAAGGCTGTTTGTTCAAGGTAGAGTCCCACTGGGATGTGATGGAGGACACAAATAATACTTATTTGTTAAAGAGCAGAATTCATGACAAAATCGACCTATTATGGTTTCTAAAAGAGACACAGGCAGATATACAGCAGCAGGCCAATATTTTCACTCTTTAGGTTATCGTTATCAGCCTCATATCTCAAACACACAGGTCGACCTAGACTGCGGCCTCACGAGCACAGAAAAATATGAACAGTTGAACATACAAAGGTAACATTTTCAGTAAATGTAAATCTATATTTTTAGACTCAATTAAAACAAATAAAAAATATCTGGTCCGTACATGATTTTTACCAATCGTATCATTGTCAAAAACTGATTTGCAGTTAAAGCTTATTGTTATTTTCTCAAATGTTGCATATAAATCTTAATTATTAATCACACAGCACTAGATTTTCATATATTTTAGAGCCCAGATGGCCACAGCTAAAGACAGATATTCGCCTGAGCCGAGTAAATTTCTCCTTTGTGAGATAAATAAAGCATATCTTATCTTATCTTGAGGATTCTCAAATCATAATAGTCCTAATATAATAAAACACAAAAGTCTCTTCACTGGGGCATTCTTTTAAAAGTTTGTCAAAATGGGTGATTCAGATGACAGAGCTTCCATGTTTTCAAACACAACCTACTATAGAGAGAGGCCAAACCAGTGTTTGCTTTACGATCGGTCAAATGCACGTCGCATAAATTAAAATATAATGTAAATATTTGATCATGTAAAAGTAGTATGAAGGCTATCATACAACTATAGCCTCAATAGAAAAAAAAGTGTATTTTGAGAGTCATTTTAGAACATAATAAATAGAGCTCATTTATGTCGAAAATGCAGTTTATCGTTTTCTCTGTGGTATAGACTTTACATAAACATTTGGTATCCGCTAGAGACTGTTCCTTAGAAACAAACCGGTACTAAGGAATGTGCAAATTGACTTTTAAGATTAATTATGCCTTTTTACAATAAGAACCCATGAACAGGCTTCTGCTCTCACATACGATTCCCTGCAGTTCCGCACAGTGATGTATTTGAGTAAATGACGTTAATAAAAGTGAATGTCGCGGTGGAGTGAGTGACGGGGAGTTTCCGTGAGTGAAAGGTGGATTAAAGTTGTGTCGGAGCAGTTCGGTCACATTCTTGCCTCAGCGTCTCCCGTTTCACACATCACACAACAAATGGCCGTTTGCACAAATACGAAAAGTCTTAGACAGGAATGTGCCTCAGGATTACAACATAGTGGCACCATAAATATGATAATTGTGATGGGAAAACACCGACATGTTCAACGTTTATGTCATAAGTGTCACGCTGTGACCTTTTGTCACTGCCCCATTCCTCATCCAAAATTAAGATAAAGACAAAGATCATTTATTCGTCCAACAGTGGGGAAATTTCAGTGTTGCATCACCAGTCACAGAACAGTAGGAATAAGCACACAGCACAAGATAAATGAGCAACAACTCTATACCAAAAAAAATAAAGTTAAAATCTCTAGCATGAAGAAGAAACAAGTATACTGTAAAATGTCTATCTTTAGAATAATGAGTACAAAAAACTCTGACTTTGGCATAATAAAGAAGTATAAAATCTCTACCTTTCTTATAATAAGAAGCAAGTATTCTAGTGCAAGTAATATACAGTATACAATGTATACATCTGTACATGTGAGCAGCATGAGGGCATGGGGTAAAGTGACAGCGGACACATGTGGTTCTATATTGCACATTCTGACATTATTAACATTATTATTGCACAGATGCATAACATCTGAGGTCAGGTCGTGAGTGATGAGACGAGATGAGATATACTTCATTGATCTCACAATAAAGATATTCCATTGTTCTTTAGTCCTCAATGTTTGTTGTACAGTCTGACAGCAGCAGGGAGAAAAGACCTGCGAAACCTCTCCTTCACACAGCGAGGAAGGGGCCGGTATGAAATCTTCAAACATTCTCAATGATAAAGCCTAAGATTTCAGTTGCAGATTTAATGACTCATATCTTAGGAAAAGTTGAATAACAATATTATGCTCACATTTACTGTATACTGTGACTTGACATGTGTCATTTTACATGTTTCAATGGCAAACTTCTGTCTTTCTCAGAAGCGTCACAGTGAAAAATTAACAAGGTACGTGGCTGAGTAACATTGCCATCTCACAATGGTCTGGTAAAAGAAGCAATGAATAACGTTTCCTACTAAGACAAGCTGAACCTTCCAAAACTATTGATTAACCATCAAAAAACAATCCATTCATTTATGTCCATGCATGTACAAACGTTTTGCGTAATCTATATGGAGCCAAGTTCTTTATAATTGCTCTTTTTCTTTATTTTAGCAAAACATGCATTCCCTCTTGTGTTTTTTGCTGCATCAGGTGAGAAAAAACGGTGTGAAGGTCAGACAGTGTTTTGTGATTCAAAGCAGTCTCCTTGTTCCACTGATCAAACTGAATAAGGACGACACAGAGGACCACAGCAGCACACCACTGTGGACTACAATAAGACAAAAGCTATACAGTCTAAAGTAGTGCATGCATATTCAGCAAGGTGATCAAAATTATTGTATCAAATACACATTTGAAAAGTTGCAATCAGGATATAATCAGGTTAATCAATAATCATGATTTTTCAGGGTCACAATGAAAAAGAAATTAGTAATTACTATTTTTCCAATTTCATCAGCGTTCAGTTCTCATACGACTGAAATGGATTGCATTTACTTATTCTAAGTAGGTTTATATTCTATTTGTTTGAATCCACATAATTATACATTCTTAAAGCAGTTCTGAACTCAGGAGAGGATTTGTAAAACGTTCAAGAACGTTGATGTTTTTATTATTCTTTAGTAGACAATTATTAATCATTATTGTGGTGTTTTTTCTCACAACTATCTAAAATTTGAATTTGTGCAATCCCAAACCTGCAATATGCAAAATAATATATTTGCAAGGATCCAAACCCGTTTGTCTCATTAAGCATTTGTCTCTGGGGTCAGTGTAAGATTGTTTTCATGGTGAAGAGAAAAACCATTTTCCACCATCCTAATTTAGATAAGCAGGATTTATTTGCTGCTTCTCTAATGTGTCTTAGGAGAAAACCAAATTTGCTACATGGACTCTCTTTAAGAACACTAAAATCCACCATGATGAATGATTGTTGTCTTATGTATCCAAGTGCAGCTGTCTAAGTGTTCAGCCACCATCCTACCAGAGAATACTGTAAATCAGGAACTTACTCTTTGAGGGTCTCGAAGCCTTGCTCTTTAAACTGGAGCTCCTGCTTCATACAGGCCAGGTCTCGCTTCAGCTTATTCACCTGAACAAAAAAAACATCTCTTAACACAACAATATAAGCACAGGATTTTATAAAATGTCCATAAAGCATAAGGATTTCAAACTACAAACATCATTTACTATTGTGTCTGAATCAGGTTCTTTCTGGACCAAAATGAGGTCTTAAATAAAACTACAGTAATTCCATAGTGATACTATATCAAGATTATCGCAACAGAAGACAAGCCTTTGAAATTATAATGTAGAGAAATTAATTTTCTTTGACAATTATAAAAGGGAGTGACAGATTTAAAGCATTCCTAAAAAGACAATGACGTACTCGACTCTTGGAGGTTGCAATCTCGGCTTTGAGGATGTCCGGGTCATATTTACTGGAAGTGGATGATCTGGAATTCACTGTGAGAAAAAGACATGTTAGTACAGAATCCAGAATTATTATTATTCCATCTATATGTGAGGCGCTCATGTCAATGGGATGGCATTTTACGTCAGCTAAAACATGTGTAGAATAGCGTAAGCTACATTAACAATATAGAATCACAAGCTTGTCAATTGGCATTACACCGCCCCATTCAAATAAATAAATAAATCAGTCTAACGATAACTGGTACAGTAATGATGACTTAAGCGAAAGAGTTTTGAGGTGTAGCAAAGTGGGCAATGCAATAACATTTCTTGTTCTAGTTACTTTTTACACAACACAATAGCATTTAATAACAAGGAATGTGCATGCTTTACTGTATATATTCTGAACGACATAACTTAAGTTCACATCTCGTATTTGGTCTAAACGTCTTGTCAGTGTCGCAGCATTGCTTTAACTACAAAATTCCCTTTTTTACCATTATTTTCTTGATTCCCCAGAGCCCAGAACAAGAATAAGATACACATCTTAAAAACTAAATGAGAGAGTACTGTGTAGAACAGGGATGTCAAAGTCAAATACATCAGAGAGCCAAAAAAATAAATGAGCTACAAGACAAAGGCCGGACTGGTTCAATGTTTATTAAAACATGTTCAAATGATTTAATGTAATCATTGAACCAATACCTAACACAGTGTACCGAATTTTAATTATTAAATGAATACTCCAATTATTGTGTATGGCTCTGTCAGAAATTTCAAGTGAAGTGACATTTCTCAACAGGCTCACAGACAAAAACAAACTTCCTTCAAAGAAAAAACACATGTTCTGAACACTAACTAAATAATCCAATATTTTCTTATGGCTCTGTGTGGGCCGGTTCAAATACTAATCAAATATCATCCAGGGGGCCAAGATAATTCATTTGCGGGCCGGATCTGGCCCCTGGGCCTCAACTTTGACACCCATGGCGTGTCATAGCGAGGTGGCACTTTTTTAATGCTTTTTAACTTGTTGTTTTTTTTCTGCATTTTATGTGATTCTATTATACAGCACTTTGATCGCCTTGAGTGTTGTAAAGGGCTCTATAAATAAAAATGGATTGATTGATTGATAAGCAGGTGTGGAGCATTCGAGTGTTTTCTTACAGCTGGTGTGAGAGGAGGACTTGTCCCTCCACTGCTCGTTCAGCTGCCTGTACTCCTGCTGAGCCAGACGCAGCCGCTGCTCCTTCACCTCGTAGATCTCCCTCTGAGCGCTCAGAGCATCGCGGGCCACAGACAGATACTCCTTCAACATGGCCTCCTGCTCCCTCTGCCACTGGGCACGAGGGTCCTCCAGCTGCGTGCTCTCTGCAAATCACACAGCAGGTCAATAATAAGACTGAGGTAAGATGAGATTAGAATAAGTTTATTGATCTCACATTGGCATAGAAATAAATCACTCAGGTTATGCAAAAAGTGTGCAAACATGTTAAAAAGATTCAAATATAGTCTCTTTAGTTAAAGATATATTATGTACAATAAAATTGATTAAAGTGATTATAGCAGTGCAGGTTTTTTCAGTCCTAGTGCAGGTCATAAAACTGACACTATATGATCATGATTTCATAGTTACAAATCTGTATTACAGGTATTACTCGATCCATTATTTTCCTCATTTTCTAAGAACTGCTTAAAAATATTGGCCAGTGATCTCATAATTTAGGAAACCTCGAGATCCTGCCAGAGGCATTGTCTCAACTTTTATTTGTGTGCTTTATGTTAGGGTTAAGGTTGTTTATGTTTTTAGCATGACAGATGATAGTGAAAAATTTAATTGGATCAGAGAAAATCTGTAAAATGATCTGCAGACACAGGAAAGCTTAAATAAAAACACAATAAACAATCATGATATTATTATAACTTTAATGAAATGAAAAGAATGCTCAATGTAGTTTTGAAAAAGTTAGGCACGTCCAATGCATTATTATTATCAATCTTGCTTAGTTAGCAGTCTGAAGCCGCTGATGAGTTTAGTTTGAACAGATTTTTTTATGTTTTTATTTAACCTCTTAAAAACCTCTTTTTCCAGGGGTAAGATATGAAAATGATGCAGAGAAAAGAGAGGAGATGAAGAGACTCACTTGAGTTGTGGTCCACAAAGTAAGGTCCCACCACGGGGTCGTACGCCTCCTCCCATCCCACCGGCAACTCGTCCCCGATGCAGTCTGCAAACGTCAGAGGCTTCGTGTGCCTGGAAACAAAACATTGTAAACATTAGGAGTGTGAATACCAATTATTTCAGCTATCGACAAGTCTGCTTTTTGTTAGATTGCTTTGTGATGAAAAGGCCACTGATATTTCATATTGGATACATATTTGAAACGTTGTTCGTATGCATAGTGTGTTCTGTCTCGAAATTAATTGATGATCGTAATAACCTACAAAAGTGAATCATTCTGGCTTCACAGTCATTTATCTTTTTAGTCATGACCACGAATAAAAAACAAGAATACCTGCATGTCACTCATAAAAACACAATAAAAACACAGTTCCTGGAATCCTTCTTTCGTTTGTCATAAGATCATTTGCGGATTCATTTAAATTGAAGGACAATCAAATAGATTAGATATAATAGATTTCTGGTAATTTACCTGTAAAATTGGCAGATCGAAACACATGAAATCAGTTCTGTTTCATTCACATTGAGTGTTTTGGCAAAATGCAAGGGAATTTGTTTTTAACTGCTTAATTTAGCAAATGTTTTAATTGCAAACTTTTGAACAGAAACCGACAGATATGTATATAAGTTTATCAGAAGAATCTACCTGCGATGTTTCAGCTATAGTATCGGTGCCTCTAAAAAACTCTGGATCTAATGGAGGGAAAATAAGAAAGGAGAGAGGGAGAGGAGGCAGGACAATGGGAGCCGAGTGTCCCGCAGCATTCCTGAAACTGCTTTGACACAGGACGGAAGTTTCTGGGGCAACAGAGACGAGACAAGCCCAGAATGGTGCACCACTGCTTGGGGAGAGACGAATAAGGGCTCCCCTAAATCTCTTGACCCTGACAAGAGATTTATAGATAAGTTAGAAGAAATGGGTTTTAAAGGCAATAAATATAGGCTTAATATCTGATAAATTATTGATATCGGAGTCATTTTCTAAAGTTGCATAAAGCTGGGGTACGTAAGTTTCAAGCCACAAAAAAAAAATATATATATATAACTAGTTCCTCGCTCTCAAAACGGTTTCCATACATGCAAGTATTTTTGGTCTCTGTCACATGCTTTTTCAGACAGAAAAGTGAAAAAGACAAGATTCTAATCTAAGATCTAAAATCAAGATTCTAAAGATTTCTAATTAGATTAAGACAGCATATTGTGGGGTTTTTTACCAATAGTTTATCTGTACATGGATAAATCTGTCGAGAAGAAAATGTATTTTGTATACAATCAAAAGTTAGGGTCCTCAGCTTGAATACGGCAAATCACACAACCAGTCAATAATAAAAAAACTGATACTACATGATCACAATGTTATTACAAATTTTTATTGCAGGGATTACTTGATCCATTATTAAGAAAATAATGTCCAAAAAAACACAGTTCTTGGAATCCTTGCGTTTGTCTCTGCTGTTATAATCAGGCAACTAAAGATTTGGGACGGGCAAGTGCGCTGTTTTAGCAAGTTGTCCGATCGGGCAAGTGATATACTCGACTGGGATTCACATCCTCCGCTCTGAGCCCCGGGCAGCTGTGGCCGCTTTGTACTGACAGCCGCTTTGACAACACATCCGTAACGTGGTAAAAAAGTAAGTTCTCCCACTTAAAATAATGACAGAGGTCTGTAATTTTCATCATAGGTACACTTCAATACAGTACACTACAATAACAATTGTAAACCGCTTTGAGACTCCGATGTGCAGTGAAAAGGCGGTATATAAATAAAAGCTTACTTACTTACTTACTTACTTCAACTGTGAGAGACAAAATGTGAAAAAAAAATCCAGGAATTCATGTTAAAGAATTTATTTGTAAATTATGGTGGAAAATAAGTATTTGGTCACTTCAAACAAGGAAGATCTTTGGCTCTCACAGACCTGTAACTTCTTCTTTAAGAAGCTCTTCTGTCCTCCACTTGTTACCTGTATTAATGGCACCTGTTTGAACTCCTTATCTGTATAAAAGACACCTGTCCACAGCCTCAAACAGTCAGACTCCAAACTCCACTATGGCCAAGACCAAAGAGCTGTCGAAGGACACCAGGAAAAGAATTGTAGACCTGCTCAAGACTGGGAAGGGGGAATCTACACTAGGCAAGCAGCTTGGTGTGAACAAATCAACTGTGGGAGCAATTATCAGAAAAAGGAAGACTGATAATCTCCCTTGATCTGGGGCTCCACGCAAGATCTCATCCCGTGGGGTCAAAATGATCATGAGAACGGTGATCGAAAATCCCAGAACCACACGGGGGACCTAGTGAATGACCTGCAGAGAGCTGGGACCAAAGTAACAAAGGTCACCATCAGTAACACACTACGTCGACAGGGAATCAAATCCTGCAGTGCCAGACGTGTCCCCCTGCTGAAGCCAGTGCATGTCCAGGCCCGTCTGAAGTTTGCCAGAGAGCACATGGATGATACAGCAGAGGATTGGGAGAATGTCATGTGGTCAGATGAAACCAAAGTAGAACTGTTTGGTATAAACTCGATTCGAAAGAGTTGCATCCCAAGAACACCATACCTACTGTGAAGCATGGGGGTGGAAACGTCATGCTTTGGGGCTGTTTTTCTTCTAAGGGGACAGGACGACTGATCCGTGTTAAGGAAAGAACGAATGGGGCCATGTATCGTGAGATTTTGAGCCAAAACCTCCTTCCATTAGTGATAGCTTTGAAGATGAAACGTGGCTGTGTCTTCCAGCATGACAATGATCCCAAACACACCGCCCGGGCAACGAAGGAGTGGCTCCGTAAGAAGGATTTGAAAGTCCTGGAGTGGCCTAGCCAGTCTCCAGACCTCAACCCCATTGAAAATCTGTGGAGGGAGTTGAAAGTCTGTGTTCACTGCTCTCGAGAAGATCTGCATGGAGGAATGGGCTAAAATACCAGCTACCGTGTGTGGAAACCTGGTAAAGACCTAGAGAAATTGTTTGACCTCTGTTATTGCCACCAAAGGTTATATTACAAAGTATTGAGTTGAATTTTTGTTATTGACCAAATACTTATTTTCCACCATAATTTACAAATAAATTCTTAAAAAATCCTACAATGTGAATTCCTGGATTTTTTTTCACATTCTGTCTCTCACAGTGAAGTGTACCTATGATGAAAATTACAGACCTCTGTCATTATTTTAAGTGGGAGAACTTGCACATTCGGTGGCTGACTAAATACTTTTTTGCCTCACTGTATTGCCAAACTCTTGTTTACTCATTGTATTGAGAAATATTTGGGCAAGTAACTTTTTACATTGGACAAGTAAAATATAAATGGTACTTGCCCGAAGTGCCACTTGAAGGGCAAGTGGCTGACAAAGCTTAATGTCAAGGCCTGTATAAGATCAACCGCTGCTTCATTTAAATTGAATACTGGAATGAATGTTGAGAAGAGACATAAACAACTCTCTACATCTTCATCCATAAATCTCTTTGATCTTCCCCAAGGTCCGTTTCCTGACAGCTACAATCTCTGCTTTCTACGTGTTAAGCAAAGAGCATTAATCATTATGAAAATCAGGTCACTTCATCAAATCTATAAAACAAAGAGAAAGGTTATGCCAAGTTTCACTATCCCAAAGTTCATGATCATAAAGAGAAAATAAGCAATCATCATTCAGGCTGATCATACAGCTCCATCAAATGTAAATCAATATTCCCATGCAGTCCATACATTGTGTGATAAACTACCAAAGATTTAAAAAAGGATTGTCCAATGAATTGTAATAAGATATCCAGAATCTTATCGACCATTCCCTACTTATTCTTCACTCATAGAAGATTTGTGACACTTGCTTCAGGGAGAGACGAGAGTGAATCTGTTGAATAATGGAAGCGCAGAGAGCCCCTTAAGAGTCAGGATAAAGATAGACTCACACTGGACGTCAGGAAATATTATAACGCTGAAACCAAAGCAAATAAATAGGCTACAATGTTTGGGCGAAAAGGAATCCTGCATCCCAATTGTATAGAAATAGGCTGAATTCAATTTAATAATGATATAAAATGTTAGAATAATGTCTTGCTCAACCCTGCTTGGATTTTATTGATGAATTAAATTATTTTTATCTGGATATGAATTTCCCAAAAAAGCTGAGCTATCGTCAATCTATCTAGTATTTTTACATATTCTGGCAATGTACTGGTAATTGTATCATGTAGGATAAGAACTTAAGCTGAAACATGGCATTGTCAGGGTCATGAGTGATTAATAACAAATTGATTGAAAAGTCTACATTTCTATAGAGCCGCAGAACAGGCAGCTCAGTTTTATGACGTCTTGTAAGTAAGTAAACTTTATTTATATAGTGCCCTTCACAGACCAGGGAAGCGCTTCACATAGTATAAAAACAGACATTATATAAACTAGACATACACATTTTTAAAGGCCAAGACAACCATGTAATACAGCAAGACAGAATTATGCAAAAGACTGAACAAATAAATGGGTTTTCAGTTGACTTTTGAAGCACTCAACAGACTATAGAACGCAGAGAGAGCGGGAGAAAGTTCCAAAGCTTGGGAGCAACAGCCTGGAAGGACCTGTCTCCTCTGGTCCTGAAGCGAGTGCGTGGAACCATCAGGAGGTTCTGACGGTTACAAAACACATGTCTTGTGGGACATGTGTTTCAGAAAGGGCACCATGTCTCTATGCATTTCTGTAATTTAAAGTTTTTACAAAAATCCTAAATTGCAACAAAAGTCAAAACAAAGCAGAGATCTTGAGCCCATGTTCCTACATCTTAGTATGCAGAGCCAATACTGGTTCATTCAGTTAAGCTCTTTTACAGCAGTTAATTTCAGTCTTGTTGCTCTAAGCACCTACAGCGTACAGTGGTGTTACCTGACCAGGAGAAACGGACACCGACACCAGATACATACACGCGTTTTCACTTGAAACACTATGCACCTTACATTACACTGACTGGCACCAGAAGCAGCTATCGGATTGGTCCACACCAGACAGCTGACTAAATCAACAGCTTACTATGACTGAACATAACACTATTTTTACTATGACTCTGGCAACACCGGTG